GGGGAAAAAAATTTACACAAAAAAAAAAAAAAAAAAAAAAAAAAATCTTTTGAAAGAGAGAAATAGAGAGTTCAAACTTAACATGAGCTATACGGTTAAATAGGGGCGCATATCTTCTTCTTTTCTTTTCTTATATTTTTTTTCCCCTAAAGGATGTGGGGATGTATTTTAAATTACATCAGAATTGAACACGTCATAAATTATACAATAAAATATTTTACATGTAAATTAAATTTTTTTTTAATTATACATTACCCAAAAAAATTACTATTCCAGCATTTATAAACTTTAAAAAAAAAATGGGGCTCAAACAAAAACTAATATCTCATTATTAATCTCCGACATTTAATAAAATTTCATGAAAATAAACTGCGTCATGTAGACATAATTTAATATTTCATTTCATCTAATAATCATTACAAAATATTAAAAAAAAAAAGTTTAATAGATAATCATCTATCTAGAGTCGCATGTTTCAATACGATTGTCTCAATCTCAAACTGTATTCCTCAATACTTTATGAGCTACAATATGGGTATGATTTGAAACATCAAGAAGAGAAATACATGAGTGAAGTACATGATTAGACAAAAGGAAATCAGCATCCATATTTTCTACGACTTCCTCTTCATGAGGTCTTGTATACGATGCAATTATTAAGAGATCTGCATCCGATATTTTCTAATGGACAATTTGTTGCTCCTCTTCTTAATTTAGGAGGGCGTTAGTAGACATTAAGGGAATATTAACAAATATGTATGAAATAATTTTTAACTAGATTTTTAAAAAATTAATAATTCCAATTAATTAATAAATTATCGAGTAATGAATCGTACAAGTTTACAAAGATCAGGTTGTATATGAAATGATGAAACTAACGAAATGAGCACGAAAACAACCCATACAATGTACCTAAACAAATGAAGAGAGGCGTGGCAAATAAGAATTCTCTATCTATGATGGCGATGGTCAAGTTGGGATAGTCATCTATAGCATTTTCCTTGTCCATTGCTAATAAAAAAAAATACTGAATTGCGGCTAATTTTGGAAGTATGATTAGCACATTGTGGTGTTTATATTTATATAATTTAAAACATAACAAAAAGTCCAAATTTCAAGTCAAAGTCTTTGAAAAGTGATACCAAGAAAACCTAGAAATAATGTTATGGGGTGAGGCATGAAAGAAGGATTGATGAGAAGTGGTTCTTTTTTTAATTTGAGAGGGCTGGGCTATCCGATTTATCTCGTAGAATGAGAGGTCCCCTCTATTTATTATTGCAGGAGCAAGAAAGCAGAAATAGATATAAGTATAGATTTTTTCTATAGATTTTATACGGAATGACAACTGTCTTCTTGTAATTGACTGTCGTCAAAAACAGTTTTTTACAACAACAAATCACAAAAAGGAAGCTGTATTCTTGTACCAATTCTGTTAAAAAAAATCTGTACTTGCAGAGTTATTCAAGATTTAGCCAAAAACAGTCATTGAAAACAACAAATCACAAAAAGGAAGATGTATTCTTGTATCAATTCTGTTAAAAAAATTTGTATTTATAGAGTTTTCCAAGATTTATCATCATCATCATCATCATCATCAACAACAACAACTGTTGAGATTGATTTTTTCACCAATATAAACAACCTATTTTGTTGGGTCTTGACTCAACTTTCAAAATGCAATTTCTAGAGAAGAATAATAACAGACTAGCATTACTGGACTTGGAATGATGATGGTATTTAGAAAAATTATCGGATTAAAATGAAATTAAAATATAGAATGGATTGTTACTCCCGTGAGGGTGTCTGTAGTTACTCCATCGAGAAGTTGATAACATTTTGTTTCGATATTCTAAGAAACTTATCGATTTTTATATTAGTAATAGCAATATACTCTACATAAAAAGGTCCAATAACGAAAATCGTCCACAAAATTTGTTAAATTATAAGCTCTTCAATATTATCCTCCTCGGAACAAAATATACAATATAGAATAGTACTCTAGGTCATGATAGAGGTAACCTAACTTGGCCCTGGAACAATTGAGCTCGACTAGTGTCCAAAATCTAGACTTGATTCAACCCTTTGGATTGTGGGGGCATCATGGACTGAGCCGAGCTGTCTACAAGCGCGACTCGCTTTCTTTAAAAAGATTAACAAAATATGCTTAAAAAAGTAAATGTTTTTTTTAATTAAAAATTAATAAATTAAAGCAAAAAACTATCAAAAATGGGGAGCCAAACAAGCCTGCTTGTGGATTTTACGAGGGGACTTGGCTTGTGGATAAAAAATTGTGCTCGATTTGATCCATGGTTCATCTGAAAAACGAGTTCGAGTCCTTTATGAATCAAGTCAAGACGAGACGAGACGAGTCGAGCCGAACCTACTAGCTGGCAAGTTGGTTGGCCCATTTGCCATTCCTAGACGATGATAGAGAGAAAATGATTTTATTATTATATTTCAATACTGCTTGGTGTATAATCTTTATTACAACGTTGTTGACTATATATCACACTATATGTTATCATTTGACAGTTTAAAAAATAATTTATTTTTTCAATCAACAATTTTTTTGACTCATACAACATTGTAACATTGTAAAAAATTATTGTAGAAAGGGCATTGTCCATTATGCCTCCGTTTGAGCTCCCATTAAATTTATAATACATTTTTCTCTTTATTTTTTTTAACCACACATTTTTCGATAAATAAATATTATATATAGACCAATTTTTTTCTTTTTCAACCATACCATTTTCAAATAAAAAAAAAATTATAACATCAAATAATGTCAAATAATGGGGCCCAAACAAGGGCTGCATTTTTCTTTTTGTAAGGATCCATTTAATTGCAATAATAGAATTTGGGTGGAAAGAAAATAAATTTCAGGGAATTGAATTGCCCAAAATTTGTTTTACAGGGAATTGTCAATTAAAAGTGTTTGATTGGTATAAATTTCCACCTGAAAACTGTTGAAATTTTAGATCATTTGATATTCGTTTGGCTTTGTTTTTAATGAAAATTGTCAATTAAAGAAATAAAATTTGTTTCCATTACCGAATTTTATTTTATTTTATTTTTAAAAAGTTGGAAAACTGATTTTCCACCAAACCGGTGGAAATTGAAATTCCACGAAACCAAAGAAAAAGAGGTCACGTGCGGGAGTGGTTGGAAAATGAATTGCCAAGAAAATTCTTTCAATCAAATAAGAAAAAAAAGTGAAAATTCCTCAAATCATACATGCCCTAAAAGTTAGCCCCCGTTTGCCTTTCATTTTGTGAAAATGAAAATGTGTGGAATAGTATGTTTTTAAAAAATAAGTGATTGAAAAAGATAGAATTTTTTTTTTTTTACGTGTAATATTACTTTATGAAAAATATGTGTGATTGAAAATAATGAAATTAAAATTTTTGGGGCCAAACGGGGCTTAATAACATTGTACTTTCATTTATCTCTTCTCAATGTACAAAAAAATAAATAAAGAAAGAAAAAATTCTCCAGTTGCTTTCTACTTTCCAGCTGGATCTAGACCCTCTCCAACCTTACGTCCCTATCCCCACATGCCCCACTGTCCTTTACCTCGAGAGCCACTTTTTTCAGAGTAGATTCCAATCTACCTCTCTTTATTCCACAGGTCTCTGTTTCTGTTTCTGTTTTTGATTTTCATTTTCCTATTTTTTAAACAATTTATATGTGCTGTTTTGCTCTATAAAATCCGACCCGAATCACTATCAAATATCTCCTTCTCCTCCTCTCTTCTCTCTCAATTACTCTTTAATCGCACTCTGCCCCTTCTTGATTTTCAGTTCCCAGGAATCCTTCTTTGGATTCGAAGCCCCATTTGTTACTGAATTATCAATCTTGATTAGTTGGGTTCAGGGTTTAGCCCAGAAATTTTTCTTCAGCTTCATTATAATTTAGGATCTGGGGTGTTATTTTAAGCTAATCTTGATGCTTGCTTCATTGTTTTTGATCTTTGAAATTGATGTCTGCAATTCTCAGCGAGCTTTTTCTTTCTGGGTTTATGATAAATTCTACATATAGGCGCAGGACCCATTTAGTTCAATCTTTCTCTGTTGTTTTCCTTTACTGGTTCTATTGCATTTCATGATCCTGTAATCACTTTTATGATAAGTAGCATATATATCTATATAAAATAAACTTCTATCTATGTAATTATTATTATATAAATATAGCCGTATTTCTATCTGGGTCCTGCTAATACCTATAGTCTGCTATCTCCAAATCCATTATTTCTTGAATTTTGATAAATTCTGTGAGGTTTCTGTTCAATTGTGGGGATCATAATTACACTACAAAGTTGTGTCTTTGAACCCAGTTCGACTTCCAAAAATAAGGTCGTGTGCATTTGGATCAACTTAATTTGTGTTGATTTGCTTATTTTCTTCGCATAAGCTGGGATTAGGACTTGATCTGTAACAGTTTCATGGCTTCATCTAGTGGGACATCATCAGGTTCATCTGGGGTTCAGAACTCTGGTTCTGAAGAAGATCTTCAGCAATTGATGGATCAGAGAAAGAGGAAGAGAATGATTTCGAACCGGGAATCAGCACGGCGATCCCGGCTGCGAAAACGGAAGCAATTGGATGATCTAATGGCAGAAGAGGCTAAATTTAGGATGGAAAATAATCAGATTATCTCAAGACTGAATATCACCACTCAGCATTATCTCAACATGGAGGCTGAGAATTCAATTCTCAGAGCTCAAGTGACTGAACTCAGCCAGAGACTGCAATCTCTCAATGAAATCATAAGTTTCTTGAATGCTAACAATGGTGGTTTTGGCATTGAGGAGAATCATTCAATTGCAGGTTCTGCTTATAATAACTTCATGAACCAATCTTGCAATTCTCTCTTTTTCAATCAGCAGCCTATTGTGGGTATGCCAGATTTCTTGCAGTATTGATTTGCGCACTTCTTTGGCTTATTTGGAAAGTTGGACATGACAATGTTAAGAATCAGTATTGTGCACTAAACTTGTAGCGGATGAAGATTTTCCATTGGTGTAAATCTAAATTTATGAAGAAATAATGAAATTGGAGGGGTGTTGACTTCTTTGGTTTTCAAGAACTTGTATTTGACTCCCTATATTATGCAATAATATGTCTTTACGTTTTCATTTTTGTTGACAAAAGATTGTTAAAATTATGCTGACCACTCAAAATGTTGTTCATTTATGTTTTTTCTTAATTTAGTGTCGAAAATTAAAAGAGAAAATACGTATAAACTATGAAATTTGACTTAAAATATAATTTATTATCATTACGAAGATACTGGATTAAACCAATACCAATTTGCTGGAAAAAATAAGAGATTAGAACCAAATATCAAGTATTTGATCACAAGAGCACAAAAATAAAATAATTAGCAGAAAATGAAGATCTTATTATAATATGGAGAAAGAATACAAAGATTTTGTTTTTATAATTTGTCTGACTTCTATTAACTTAATCTAAATCATATTAAAGAGCCAACTATATATAGAGAACAGATAGGAAATATCCAAACCCTAATAGTAGAGTTGTGGTCGAGGTATAATGCAAGAAATGGAATCCAAAACAGAGTAGAAGAGAGAAAATCGAGCAAGACAAGAAACAGACAGGTGGTGCCGATGCCCACTTTCAGATTCTTTACTCCAAAATCTCGGTTCTCTTCAGCCCAATGTCCCCTTCACGTCCAACACAAATTTCAATTTTTAATTGGACTTCCAAATAGAATTTTAACTACAATTTACCAAGTAAACTTGAATAGGATTCAATAATGGCATTTCAAATAGAATTTTTCTTAATATGCACTTTAATCAAAATTCTTTATTATCTCAAAAAAAAAAAAAAAAAAAATTTGATTCGGATGAAGCAAAAATTGCTTTGAAAATAGGTTTTTGAAATTACGGTTCAAATGCTTTTCCCGTAATCTTAAAATAAATAGTCGAAATTGAAAAACTAACAATTCAAATACAAACCAAACAGCTCGTAACTTATTATTGGTAATTTAGACTAATGGTCGAGTTACTTTTCATTCCTGTTGAGAAAAATTTTAAAAAAAATAAAAAATTAAAATATTACATTGATTCTAAGGATGAAGATTTTCAATCTTAATAGAGAAAAATAAAAAAATCAAAATAAAACAGAATAGGAAAATTTGATTCTTGACCACCGGTTGAGACACTCTTGAGAGTTTATTTTATTTTTAGTTTATGTGCTTGCATTTTCGATTATAAAAGTAATGGAGTACAAATTCTTTAGTCACCACCCTACTCAAGACACACTGACCAAACCACTCAATACAAACGTCTAATAATAATAAATTAGCACTTGACCTATAATTCACAATTCAATCATGCTACTTGTACATTTTATTTTACATCAAATTTGACATTGTGCCACATGTCGTAACATGATTAGACAGTTTTTAAAAATTACACATTTTTACGCTAACAACATTTTGAATTTTCAAAGCATATCAAAATTTCATGTACAATGTGGAATGTGCAAGAAGCTTTATTCTTCACCATTTTTAAGAAGAGCGGTGCTATGTGTACACGGGTGTTGACATGCCCCCTCTCTTGTGAGGGAACTGTACACTGTCGTGTCAACCGTCTATGTACAAATAGAAAATTTCTTTTAAAAAGCAAATTTTTTTTATATTTTACACTAAAAAAATAAAAATACTAATAAAGAGCACACACACAAAAAGGAAAAAAATAAAGAAAAGAACAAAAGAAAGAACAAAAGAAAAAAAGGAAAATATTATATTCCCCAACAGCCACTCCCACGGCCCATTCGCCGCCACCTCCTCCGCTTGGGGGGAATTTCACAAAAATCAATGGAGAAATCCCCTCTATTGGCGGTGGTGATAATGGTGGAGGTGGTGGCTATGTAGGGTTGGACGGGTGTTAGGGAAATTAAAGAATTTCCATTTTTGAATTTTTTTCTTTTCCTTTTTTATTTAAATTTTTTTATTTATGGTAATTATATTCATATTAGAAATTTGGTAATCGCATCACATTTTAATTGTAAGGAAGATTCTTAGAATGTGTTTGATTGACATGAAAAGTATCACATAGAAAAAAAAATGTTTTCCATCTTTTGTGGAAAATAAAAATCACCTCTACCCAAAAAAAATGTTTTCCTTAAAAATAAGGAAAATTAGGCATATTTTCAAAAGTTGGAAAATGTTTTCCATGAAAAAAAATAGCAATCAAACACTTCAAGTAGGAATTTGGGTGGAAAACTGATATTTTCCATAAAAAATAAATGTAATCAAACACACCCTTAAATTTTGCTCATTATTTTCCTAATATCACCACCTTTTTTTTTTTTTTTTTTTATAAATTTATATTCAAACCTGCTTGATGTACACTCTATTATATAGGGCTGTATTTGATATACATAATTTAGATACATAGGGCCTGTGGGTCTCATCCCATATGAAGGTGTGAACACTTCTATATATATAAATTATGTAAACCAAGATTTATCCATTACACAGCCTCTCATGTGACGGGGTCTATAAGAATTTCCCTTTTATATTTAACTATCAATCATTAGCATATCTTGTCTCTTATAACAATTTTTGTCCAATTATTATGATAAATAGGTCTTTTCGCTCCATTTTAACGGACATTTTGGTTATCATCGGATGTTTAAATTAAAATAAGATTAAAATTAAAATTAAAATCTACAAAAAGAATTTGGGGACATAAGTGTAAAATGAGCAAAAGTTAATGACATTCATTATAATTATAACGTGGTGTAGCTAACAAAAATTATTATGAACCCATTTATCTTTCTATTTGTTTCATAACAATTATAAAAATACTCAATTGTTGTTTAGAGAGTTAAGCCCTTGCTGATCTACATTATTTTCTAAAATACATTTTTCTTTTTCTACTTTTCAATCATACATTATTCAATAAAATGATGATACACGTAAATCTAAAACTTTTTATTAATTTTAAATCACACATTTTCTATCAATCTATTATCACGAAAAATGGATTTTTTTGCCAAAAATAGGGTTCAAACATACTCTAAACATATGCACTTCACATCCCAATAGCTGTGCTACATATTTTTCAAGTGTTTTACCCCAGGCTTTCAAATCTGAAGTACAAGTTTCACGTGCAAGGGACAATGCTCTGAGTACAAACACAACTGCACAAAACATGGGGCATATTGTAATATATTAATAATTAAATAATTGATAATCTCACTCGATCCCTGAATTGTGCCTAATTATAGGGCAGGACATGGTCCGTTCCTGCTCTAAAGAAAATCAAATCAAATTGTCGAGTCTAAATTTAATTATGGAACCATTCGAGTTCGGTTCCATTCGATTTGGTATAGTTCTATTCAATGCCTGAGTTCCATACAATAATTAATTTTTTCAATATTTATAGAAATGCTACGTTAATTCAATTAATATATGTTCAATCTTATCTCGTAGAAAATAATGTAATACATCTTATATATTTTTTGCATCTCTCTTGTTGAGTTCTTTGTAGATTTGATTGTTAAAATTATATGAAGATAAAGATAGCGAGCTCGTAATAGTGAAGAGACTTCATAATCGTAGAAACAAAACTATGGTAAAATAATAGATTTGGGTAAATTTTAGATCAATTTGATTAAGCTGGGCTGGAGGAGAAAATTAGAAATAGGAAAATTATATTTTAGATTTGAGTAATGTTATTCGCAGTCGCTCATTGCGATAGTCGCCCTACGTGACATACACATGAAAAGTGATTATTTGATACATTAATGTGGTAGTTCTTTTATTCATTAATGCATTAAATAACTATCTGTCATGTGCATGCCATGTAAGACGACTACTTTAGTGAGCGACTGAAAATAACATTATTCTTTAGATTTAGGCTTAATTAATTAATTAGCAAATTTATTTAGAAAAAAATAAAATAATTTTGACTTATTTAGAATAAATAAATAAATAAAAAGTTAAGGAGATTAGTTTTGAGAATCAAACCGAATTGAACCGTACCCGTCGATTTTGAATACAAATATTCATTCGGGTATTTAATTTAAGAAAAATCGCTCGGTTTGATTGAATTCGGATCGGATTCGAAAATTTTATTCAGTCCTACCTAATTACATGTTTTGGCGATAGAAAGAACATATTGAATGTTATAATATTTTCATTTTTCTTTTTCTTAAGAAAAAATTAAGTACTAAAATTTATAAAGGCTTTGAGTTAACCATAGAACGTAATCTCCAGTATTTAAAAATTTGTGTAGATAAAAAGTAAACTAAAGGGATACGTATTCTCCAGTATTTAAAAATTTGTGTAGATATAAAAGTAATCTAAAGAGAGATGGATGTCCTTAAAAACATGGTAGAGGAGAATGACGTAAACAAAAATTAGCTTGAATAATATTTCAGTAAATAAATTGATTTTTGTAGTCTGGATAAAATGAATTACAAAAGGATTTGCCTATGTTAAATATAAATTTGCTAACATTACATGGACGGGTCCAGGTTTGAATTTAAGATCGGGCTAAAAAAATTTCAAACCGGACTAATATGTGAAAAAAAAATTTTACTTATTAAAAATCTATTTTTGCAAAAAAATAAAATAAAATAATAATAATAAATAAAGAAAATTACCCTAAAATTTTTTTAATTGGACCAGGTGGGGCCCCCCTAAATCCGTCCCTGGCTAACAATATGATTTAGCTCGAGCATTTCAACTTGGATTTTGCTTGCTTTACAAGCCCCTCACATGTTGGGTGGATGGATGGGGGTGGGTGATTATTTAAAAAAAAAAAAAAAAAAAATTCCCCCACTGCATGTATTGTGTGTTGCTTGTGCAGCAGCTTCCTTTAAATTTTTAAAAATTCTTGACATACTATTCATGGCATTATTGTACCTACGGTGCATTTGATTGCAAACATGGAATTTGCATGGAAAAATATAAATTCTAGGCAATTTAATTACTTATAACTTATTTGCATGAAAATTATCAGTTAAATGTATTTGATTTATTTAATTTTCAACATAAAAAATATTATAATTGTCCATTTTTTATTGATGGATAGATGAGATAGGAAC